GGTGATAATCCTCCCTGTCTTTCTACAATTTGCAACGACAAGTTTCTATAATCAGTTTTCTATCTCCTGTTTTCACCAATTTGTCCTGCAGACAGCCATCCTCTCCCAGTCCAGTCTCCCAACTGCAGCCCAAGTCTGCTTTGTCTTCCAAGTTCACGTTGACTTTTCAAACACTTGCTCCCTAACAGTAAATGGCATTGCTAGATTTTTACAGTCCTGGCAGACACATACATTTAGGACTAATACTATAATCGTTACTTTTTCTTGAACACTTTGTGTGTGAGTAATGTGTCAGGTACTTTTAACTAGCTGGTAAAGTAACTACATGGCAAAAGAGGGGGGAAAAAGTCCTTCCCAGCGTTTCAGAGGGCAAGGCTCTTCTAGACATGACTATGAGGGCTTCCATCAACATGGGGCCAGGCCAGACCCAAGGGCACACAGAGCATCCTCAATACTCCCCTCAACTTAACAAAAATCAAGATGGTTTAGCCAGTGGGAACAGAGGGCTTAGTTTCAAGGACGCAAACTTTCACCCAAGGGAAGATTCGCCACAGAAAGCTGCTCCTTTGGTGAGAGAACCTCTAGTTCTAGCATATTTGCTAAAATGTAATAATAAAAATGGCTGGAGACAAGACTTCTCCTAACTCTGCTCTTAAATTTATTTCTTGACATTGCAGTAATTATACAACAGTTCAGCCTAGAAGGGTCTCCTTATAAGAGATCCTCCCTCTGTTTCCCTGACTCTGGACTGGAGGAAGGACTAACCCGATCTGGATAGGTATGTATCCAACCAACCCTGCAGGACCAACCAAAATTCAGCCTTTAGTACTTAACTTTGTTTAGGTACACTGTTCTTACATTCCATAAAAATTCTTCATTCTCCATTAACTTTATTATTAGCAAACTTTAAATGTAGTAAGAAACTTGTTAAACTATATCTGGAATCTACAATTTTTTTAATTTTAATTTTTTAAAGACATTTTATTTTTTGGAGGGGGAGGTAATTAGATTTGTTTATTTTAGTGGAGGTACTGGGGACTGAACTCAGGACCTTGTGCATGCTAGGTAGGTACTCTACCACTGAGCTATCTCCTCCCCACCTATTTCAATCCAAGAATTCAACACAGGAACTGGTTTTAGCAATGAAGAGTTGGGAAATAGAGTAAGAGAAAACTGAGTTGTAAAGCAGTGCAGATGGTTTTCACCAGAAAGTATGTATGTTAATTTTCTTTAACATATATGGCCTCAGTCTCCTATGATTAGTCTTTTTAGTCAGAGAAAAGTTATTCTAAAATGCTAACCAGTCTTACCAATTTATCTTCTTTTTTTTAATTCTAAAAAAAGAATTTCTGTAGAGCCAGCCTCACAAAAATTCTGAC